AAAATGTTTTCTAAATAGTAATTTAAAAATTCGTATCATTTTTCTCCTTAAGGATGTCCAAATTATACATTTCCAAAGATACATAAATCATTTGACACTAAAACTTTTCCTCTTTAAGTTTTATAGGGTTTTTAAAACCCTTTTCAACTGTACTAAACACTATCCTCTTATATCCCAATTGGTTTCCTCAAACAAAATCACTACCTCCTCCATAATGTTTTGCTTCAGTACATTCCGTCCATCTCAACTCCCCCCTCACTGCACTGCCAGAACACTGCACACGCTCTCCATTTGCCCCAGCTCAGAGCCTTAGAATCATGGAATGATTTGGGCTGGAAAGGACTTTAAGATCATCTAGTTCCAACCCTCTGCCATGGGCAGAGACATCTCACCCTAGACCATGTTACCCAAGGCTCTGTCTAACCTGGCCTTGAAGACTGCCATCTCTCCCATGATAATGCAGTTTCTGTCCTGTGCACCCCAAATTGACTCTGTGCTTCCCATCAGAATTTAGATACAGGCCTGAAAAGGACCTCCTTCCCCCCCAGTATTCAAGTACAGCAGCTTCCCACCGCAGGTGAAGCAACTGCAATAGTTCAGGTCGTTCAAAGATCAAGTTCTATTTTAAAATTTACATCCTGCCATCTCATCTTCTAAAGCCATTCAACAATTTCCCTTGTCTCACTCTGATTTCTGAGTCTTTAGTTAAAAGTGTCTACATAAGAATAGCTTAAACTGCGCTATAACAAGGCTAGGAAGTTCTGTAGCTACTGTAAGGTAAAATGGCATTTTTTAATCCCCTGAAGTCTTCCAACTGTGAAGAAAGAAAATGGTGTTTAAGTTCACAGAGCTCAATTCTGCTCTTGATTACACTGATGTGAACCACATTATTGGTTCTGATGGCATTACTTCAGATGTTCACCAATGTAACTGAGCAAATTACGGGTCACTGTATATAAACAGCTCTAGCTAAAAGTATAACAAAGACTGTATTGTGCTATACACACCAGAGCCAATAAACAAATTCAAAAGACACCTAGATGTGTTCCTGGAAAAAAAGGGGGCAGGGGTCTAAGTGGTCCGGTGGGAGCACAGGGAAGTGAGATTAAGATAAATTAAACCAGGTTTGGCACTCTGGGTTTGACAGAGTTCTTATCTCTTTTGCAGCTTTTAGAACATGTATGGTTGCAAAATGAATTGTTCTTTTGCACTGAAAAAAACATACTCATTTCAGAAGCAGAATCACAGACTGGTTTGGGCTGGAAAGGACCTTAAGATAATCTAGTTCCAACACCCCTGCCACGGGCAGGGATGCCTCTCCCTAGACCATGAATACCACAAAACACAAGAATAACACTGTGAAAATGAGCCTACAACAATTTAGAAGTATTTGAATAAAGCCCAATGGATCTTTCTAAGACAGCACTGGATTTGCACCCAGGAGTATTAGAATGGGGTTCTTGGAGGAGGAGGAGGGGGGTGGGGAAGGGGTGCTGGTTTTTGGTGTTTGGTTAGGTTGGGGTTGGTTGTCCTTTTTAACCTTATATCTACACTGTCCCATTATTGGCTCAAATCTTGTTCCAGCGTAGTCCAGCACCTTCAAGTCTCTGTGCTCAACTCTGCAGCTTCAGTTAAGGGTATTAAAATACACTTAAACTTGTAGCAAGTGCTTTTATGTACACAGTTACTAAAACACAATACTCAGGTCAGTGAGGTTAATACTCAAGTTGAAGAACTCTGTTAGGAAGACAAATAGCAGCAATTTCTAAGTGAATTCCCTTCACAAAGTGATGAGGCAGCTGCCAGTTTGCACAGTACAAATCCATGCCCTGCAAGCCACGAGGTGGAGATCTCTGGCAAAGTAGGATCCAAAGGAAGTCTTTTACCCAGCCTAATGTTACTATTAACACTTTGAGCCATTGCACCAAGCCAATTTTTCTGTTTGTTTTTAAAGTTTGATAGAAATGTCACTAGTGGAAAAATTAAGTAAAGAGCACTGGTTAGCCACAGAACTGGACACACCTGGCTGCAAACCCACCCAAAGAAACTGACTTCATTAGTACTAGGGACAGCAGAGTAAAATTTATATCTGAAATATGCCTGCACCAGTAGAATTTGCTGAGGCCACAGGCTCTCGCTGTGTTTTTACAGCTGTGTCAAGTTTGGGTTTCTGACTCTTGCCGACATTCAGGAGTGCTGAAGGAGCTCAGGCTAACAGGTCCCAAAACTTTGTAGCTAAGATTTAGATCTCAGCACTTTTAACAACCAGGTTTTGAAATAATACAAACTCCCTTTGGAGCTGGAGCTGATGTAAATGAGTAGTTAAAATGCTTCACATTCTGTCACTTTCGGCTCCAATGAACTTGTGTATTCAAGAGCAGATGGTATATTTTAATAAACCATCAGTATCAATTCAGAAATATAGTATCCATTTTCTGCATCAAGCATTGGAGTTGTTGCTAGATATGGAAACGAGCTGAAGAACTGCAGGTTTGTCAACAAGTTAAACTAACTGCATCCATACAGGTGCTCTGTCACTTATAGCACAATACAGGAATGTACCAATCAGAGTTAAATATTGACCTTTGATACCTTGCATGAGAAAATAGCAGGGAGTGGCATTTCCTAGCCTCTTAGGTGCTATGCAGATGATAACTTAGAGCCCTAATAGTATTTAGTAAAGTTTCTTTCCATTTAACTTACTTCTGAGAAAAGCTCAGATTCTGAAATTTGAAAGCATTAACAGAGGAATATTAATGTCATCTTTTTATCTATTATTCTTAACTGGATATATTTATATGTCTTCTTTTGGAGGTAGAATATATACTGACTGCAGGACTAAATTACTGAAAATAAATACACATATACCTCGATCAGCCCCCAAACCCTTTCTCATTACTTCAGCTTCATTTTAACAGAACCATTAGTGACAAATAGCATTACAGAATCATAGAATGGCCAAGGCTGGAAAGAACCCTAAGTCATCCAGTTCCAACCCCTGCAATAGGCAGGGACACCTACCGCTAGACCAGATCCAACCTGGCCTTGAACACTGACAAATACATCAAGATTAGTAAGTAGAACCTAACACCGAGGGTAACTGTCCTTTACTTATCACTTAAAACTCCATGCAACTGCTAAACCTGAGATATACCCTGTTTGAACTCTTATCTCACATCTATGTGAAGGTGAAGGAAGTAAGTGAAGAAGATTGAATAAGGATGGAAGGAACAGGAACTGTCCATGCAGAAGCCTGTGTGAAGTGGTGTATTAAGCCAGGATCACTAATATCAAGGAGGGAGAATAAAGCAGTGATAAGGAGCGAGGGAACAGCTAACCTGTTCAAACATCAGTATATTAACATACAATAAATACTACTAAAGAGACAAAAAAGTTCATTCATCTTGACAGAAATAATAACTGAAAGATTAGGAATAATTAAAAGATGAAAAAAATATCACTAAGATTCTGAAAGCCCTGTGCCTGCCAAACACAATGGGAACAGTCCTCATTTCCAAGTTTACAGTCTCGGAAAGGTCACTATACTTTCATACACACCCTTAGTGCCCAGTCTAGTTTGCTGTTACCTCAGGAGTTCACATTCTCTCACAAGGAGTCTTATTGTAATCAATGGGCCTCTGTGCAGCTAAACTATATTAAATATACACACAGGTGTAACTGGTTTTGAGATCAAGCCTTTAAATGTGGACATATTTCTTTTAAGCCTCAGCTATTGCCACATAAAAGCTATGTGAACACTAGGTTACTGTCCAAAGTATATTACAGGAATTATACTATTGCAAACTAAGCATGCTTGTTATTACAAACAAAGATTGTGAAATTGAAATTCAAGGATAAACTGAAAAGATGTCTAACCTGCCAAGGCAAAGAATGAATGGCATTCAAACAACTTAAGATCTCCTTGCAGTTGCATCATACAGCGACCCTGTCATTATAATATGCATATACTTACATTTGAGGTGCCAGACTGGATAAAAACATAAGGACACTGGTGTTTGGGGTTGTTTTTACTCTTTGGGGAATTTTAGGGAGCAATGGAAGATTTAGTTTGCAGAAATGGAAACCCTGGGCTTCCCTTTACAAAGAACTGACTGCAAAGCACTATCTTTTTTTCCCTTGAAGTTTACCAAAGCATCCTCAAGAGACCTGTACCAGGTCTCCTGTCACCACTGTGATACTGGGGCTATGAAAATCATCAACTATCTCCTACTTTGTCCTGGTTTTGGCTGGCAGAGTTAATTTTCTTCCTGACTCTGCACTGTCTTCTCTGAATACTATCATCAGCACAAGGCTGAAGAAACACACCTAGAGACTTTAAGGCCAGAAATGACCATTACAACTTGCTAGCATAACCCTTCTCAGACTGGGCCAAAAACCCCCAACCTTGCACTTCCTTCAAACTTGCGAATGAACCTTGGACCTGTTCTCCTCAAGATGCTTCTTTCATGACAAAGACCAGGGATACTACAAATTCAAAATGAAAACTAAACTAATGACTAGTTACAATAATGTTACAATAAAACCTTGTCCCTTAACTTTCCTTTTACTCATCATCCTATACACAGAGGAAACTCAAAGGTCTGCTGGAATTACTTAATTTACAGTTATACATTTGGCACCATTTTTCTCCCTACCTCAGCTGATGCATTATTCCTGTCCACAAATGCCCCTTCTGTTATAGCAGCATTCATTTCTGCAATCATATGGCAAACCACATGGAAAATTAGTTACTTTCAGAGAAATCAGTATCTTCATCCAGGCCAGTGCAGTTTAAGAAACAAGGTCAATGGCTCAAGACAACAGGCAGTAGAGCTGCAAGAATGCATGTTCAGGAGTAAGGGCTACATGTATCAGCTTAAGCTAATAGAGAAATAAAGCAGCTACAGGTTGACTCTTTGGCATTATTCTAAAACATGCAAAGTTACAGAATTACTGAAAGATGTGAACCATCAAGATTATCAACACCAAAGATGACTTACCCCCATCACCTTACCACGCTGCTCCACATCCTCCCACATGCAGTGAACTATATAGCGACACATGTATTTTCCCGTGCGACCCTCCTGCTTCATTCGGACCAGACACATCCTGCAAGAACACAAACACCAAGTTCATACTTTCTAGTTTTAATTCAAATGTAAAGAGTAAATTAAATATATTTCAACTCATTTAAGATTCTCCTTACAGTATGTGGTACTGTGATCAGGAAAAAAAATACATATAGATTCATTTATTTAAATAAACTATCACAAACTTTTCTATTCTGCACTTAGAGATCTGCTTGTACCTGCTGGATTTTGGCCAATGCAGCCAGAAGAGTGACAGCAGACTATTCTTGCTGACAGTACTGTAATCTAGTTAACAGTACTGCAACCTAAATTCCTCAGCCTTAATAACACATCACTCTTTGGAGCAGGAACAAACGCCTTGTCTAATCCTAGGCTACAAGCCAGCTGTAATTCAGCTTGGTACACTAAAGTGCTGTAAGAGCCTGAACTAGCCAAGGTGTGAAAGCTTAAGAAAGTTACAGACTTCACCTAAATTCACATTAGCAATGTCCTAAATTATTTCAACTACAAGGGCCTTTGGATGCACATCCAACCACTTGGCAAAACCCCTACACACAGTACATCCTACAAGAACTCACAAGTTAGTAAGTGCATTGTGAGACCCTAATGAGAATACCAGGTTGAGTTGGTTTCCTTTTTTAAGCATTAAAGCCACTTGAACTTCATTGCTGCTGTTCTGTTAAAAAAATAAATATGAAATCGTATTTGGCTTCTTTTACAACATCCGTAAACAGCATGAACTGAAATAGCAGTTAATCCTTCCATGAGTCAGGAGACCAGCCCCATTCCGCCCCCAGGTCCACCTTCTCCACCTCACTAACTCCTGGGGTTTGAGTCAGAACTGCCTGTTCACCACTGACTGTAGACAAGGTGATGCTCAAACACTGGAGCTGGAAGAAATCACTCCTTTGCACAGAGACATGCTACAGGTGGGAAGGAGCTGGAAGAAATCACTCCTTTGCACAGAGACATGCTACAGGTGGGAAACTGCTCACAGGAAATTCTTCTCACAGCTTACGTGAAAACAACAGAGCAAAACTGCTAGGGGCCACTCTGAAGGAGTTGAATACTAACAACAGTGAATGTGCCACCAGAGTCAGCACATAAAAACGATGATTTTTTTCTAATCTGTTCATTTCTTCAGTGCACATAAGATCTGGGCCTCCCTACAGCCATTAGAAGTATCTAGTGATCTGAGAATGCCAGCTCAAGAGGGAGAATCAAATGCTTGAAGCTTGTCTGTTGAGCTGACCTGTAAAAGGACAGATGCCAGTCTTTATGACGGATTCTATCTTGTCTACTGATTAGTAAAGGGAAGATATTTTTTAACCTGCAAAGAAAGCAAAACTTCTTGCCAGTTATGGGTCAGAGACAAAAAAAGCTGAAGGTAACAAAAACTGCATTAGCCCTATATTATTTTTTCTGTTAGAACCATACACTGAAGTCCCATACAAGGGCCATTCAACCGAAATACCCAAATTGAAAGAAGAAAAGCCCACAGACCAGAATCTGATTTCTAGATGGAGAACTGCTGAAAATGACACCGGCCATAAAAGAGACAGCTAGGGCTCCAACACAAGCCAGGGGGAATGAGGTCAGAAGACAGGAGAGAGGGACTGGGACATAGTAAGTAGACCCAGTGATACTCAACAGTAGAATGACTGAGACACTCTGGGTAGAGAAGGTCGGCAGTCAGAGAAGACTGTAGCAAACAAAGCTGCGTAAGGATTCCCAAGGTTTATATTGTGGCGGTGATGACTTGGTACCTGTCCAGTAGCACCACTGTCCCAGCAATCCAGTACAACTAGGATGGTATCAGGAAATTAATCCTCAACTTGCTCCTAGAAAGACAACAATGCTTCCTCCTAAAACAGTGCTCCAGAACTCAGAGAACAGCTGTCCAGTTATCAGTCCACAAAATAAATGGATAAAGAGCGTAAAACTTGTGTTTTACTTCCAGCCATTTCAAAACCTTTGTTCCTCTCGTGCATTTTCGTAACTGAGCTGCATGAAAAAGTTAATTAGTAAGAGTTACTCTGCTCCAAATTTTTATCCACTCTTTTAACAGGTCAAAATGACTCAAGTTTAAGAGATTAATCTGGGGCTAAGAAAAGCATTTTTATACTTCTCTTGCTGAATATGCAAGCTCGGAGGGATGTGGGGGAGGAAAGTAAGAGTGGCTTGGCAAGAAAAACTCCTCTCCTCCCAGCATCAATACTGGTTCCTATCCAGTCTGCCTTCAGTGGTGGTGCAGCAGGAGGAGAGCAGTGCACAGACCAACAGCTAACAATTGGTCACTGATGAGCAGGGCTGAAGCGGTGTTCAGAGTAATGCCTGCTACCCGTGAAGCCTAAAAGGCAGCTGTGTTTGGATGCACAGTGCTGTCACAGAGCTGTTCTGCAGCACCATGGGTGAGATCATGGAATATTGCAGTTTATTTGAGAATTTGGTAGTTTGTTACTACACCTGCTGTCTGAGGTTTAAAAGACACAGACTCTAAAAACTATAAACCTTTCAACTTGATCACCACAGTGTGAAACATTTTATTGTTTCACTACAGAATCTGTTCTGTAGCTTAGTCAAATACTGACTCATCTTCATCAAACCATGAAAGCAAAATTATTCCAAACTATCTTTGGAAATCTACCTGAAATTTGCTGGGTTGGGTAATTTATGCAGTTATGCAGCGAGATTATGTTAGAAGAAAACCATATGAAAGGATGCCTGAAAAGGAACAGGAGCTTCTCTAAGTTGACCCATCTCAGATGAGATCTAGCAGCTTCCCATAACAGCCTCTGCTACAATTGCTCCTGTTGGTATTCCCACAGTGCCAGCAGACTGATTTAACACCAGAAGTGGTAGCTGACACCACTCTGTCAACTGCTGCGAGGTGGCTCAGTGCCATGCAGTTTAGGTGTGCTGCCGTATTATACTTCTTGATGCTGTGTATCACAGGGTATATTTTCCTGTCTATGCAAAATCATGACTATGTGAATAAAAACCCAGGGTGTTCTTTGCATATTCATGTTATCCCTCCCTGTTTTCCCCCCAGATACTTAAAAGTTTGGGTTTGAGTATTTATTTTAGTCATTTTCCAAATATCAATATGAACAATTACCTTATTTATTAACTTTTTAAAGCCTTTTTCCCACATGGAACAGGAAGAAGTACACAATCTGCCAATTTTGAGGGTCTTCCTTGCTTCATTCCACATCGCTAACTGATTATAATGTCAACAGTTCTGCTAATTTATTCATTCTTTAGTGAAATGAGCTGTCCCATCTTTCAACATACAGAGGAGAAAGGAAATAAAAAGGAGGGAAAGGGGAAAAAAGGAGACAAGGAAATAAGGAGCCTCTGCTTAAGCGCAGCTATTTCAGTACAAACTTCCTTTCAGCCTTTGGATAGCTGAACCCAAGTCTATGGACTTCAGTCTCCTGAAAGATCTGGCACTTCACAAAAATTACTCTACTCCCTTGTGCATCCCTCTGACCTTTACAAGGATGTAATGCTAGCTGAAAACCTGATTTTTTTGGCTACTATTTTCACAAATAAAAAAAAGGAAAAAACTTCATGTTTAAGGTGTTAAATACTTTTACAGGTAGGCAAGTTGGCATTCACCAACCTGCATGTACGTTTCAGAGGTGCAGGAATAAATGCCAGTGCTATAATTTGTTAAATGCTTCTGATGAGCAGCAATTTCAATCACCACAAATTTTACATAAATTTAAGTTTAAACTTTTCCTAAAACACCCGACTAAGGTTTTTCCACATGGGCTGAGAAGGCTTTCAGAAAACTTATGGCAGAAATCATTCCACTCCTGAGGACTTTTGAGATGTTAGCTTCTGTATGGCTCACTTTGTTCTTTAGTAGAGATCTGCTAAAATTCAGGAATGAGTAATTTGAATATGACCACTATTATCAGGAACCATGGAGCCCACTTTTCCTCCCGTTAAGGTACATATCACTCTTTTTCCTGACAGCAGTTATACTACTAGATTATTTTTCACTTACCAGACATGAAGCTGGGCTACTAGAAACCATGAATTCAAAGTGTCAGGCATTTGGCACCCTTGAGGAGAGGGGGGAAAAAAAACACAAAACCAAAGCCAAATATTAATATGAATTTCATCGCGTTTTGCACCCAAGAGAAATTCACTACCCCAAAACCTAAATAAATTTTAATATTTCATTTTTGACACTATACAGTACGTACATATCAGAAGCAAACATCATTTACTGTCAGACTTGTGCTTAAGCTCCAGAAAACACAGCCACAGGATGCTGTAGATGCCAAAGATTTTGTGTGTTTTGATCTCACTTAGACAATATTTGGGACTGGAGAATTAAACAAACATGGCTTCTAGCTCAAGAAGTCCCAAAGCAGTAGAGAATAATAGCGAATTATCAATGGATGCTCTGCTCCATTCTTATACTCTAACATGTACTGGCTGGGTCTTTGCTCCTAATCTTCCATTCTGATTTACTACATGGCTGTACAACCTACAGCACCCTGAGCATACCTTGCCTCTAGCTGTTCTACATGAGGATTTAAACCACCAACCAACCATAGCAACAATTTCTGTTTCCAGATTTAGTTCTACTCTGAGAGCCACTGGGTGTTCCAGGGATGGTTAGTCCACATGCACATTCACACTATGGATCTACATCTGCCATTAGTATGTGAGGCTAAAGATTTAGGTTATGTGGCACAGAAACCATATTCGTCTTCCTCATGCCCATCAAGTCCTTCTGTTCCTGCCAATCTCAAACCTACCTCCTAGGAAATCACCTCTACATTTGTTTCCTGAGTAAGTTTTTAAGAGGAGTACCTAATGCAAAGGATCTTAATCACCTTGGCCTACCCAGCACCTGCTCTTGTCTTCTGGACTTAGCTGTATGAAGGTCAGAGTATTCAGAAATAGACTCTCCAGTCAGATGTGCCCCTAGGAAGTCAACCTTATCTTTTCTGCATTGAATATATTCCCTTCCCGACTCCTATACTTCTTGTCTCTCAAGTCTTACCAAAGAGATTCACCTGGATCATGAAGCAAAACTTTTCACAGCCTCTTTCTTTTTATACCGTCAGGCAACCACCAGAACCACCAAGCAAACCATCACTATTCATCCCTCCCCAGAGAGATTACTCCATCAGTGCCCAGGAGGTGCCAAGCTTCAGCATCAGTGTTCATACATCACCTATGCCACCTCTAAGACAGTCTATGTTTGGAAACACAGGTTTCCCTCACCCTTCTCCCCATTTGGCTCTCCCATCCCTATTAGAAATATTCATGTGCCTAGAAATGACTACTTTGGCCTAAAGGCATGCCAAGACGTCTCTAACTAGGGCAAGAGTACACAATGCTTTCATTATTCAAACCATTTCATTAAATGAAGGTTCCAGAGGCAAGATTCAGAGTAAAGCACTTAGTTCAATAGAGGTTTCTGAAGTAGAAGTTGCCATGTATCAGTCTCCCACCACAGAAATCACTTTTCAGTGGAAAGCAAAGTTCACACCTCTACTACTGAAAGTTTTTAAAGCCCTATTCAGTATCCAGGAGGGAAGAATTTTTTCTTCCAACTTCTATTTTTATAATTCATTTTTTAGCCTCTATATTTAGACTGTCTACAGTGTAAATTTAAAGGTGGGATGGCTCTTTTAAAGCACGAAGCTTTTTAGAAGGAATGTAATTATAAAATCTGGGGGGTTGGAACACCTTATTCTGGGAAACTAACTGGGGAAAAAGAGCCATCCTACAATGAAACAGAAAGCTATTTCTTCCAAAATACAGTTAGATACAGAAAAAAATATCTGATGATAAAGCTACCTATGAAATGACTATAACTATTATCAGCTGGGGAATAAATCTGTGCACAGAACACATCCTGTTCACATGTCTGCATACAGTAAGAGACATGAATGCTCAGGATTGTGAGGACATACCTCTTCCTCCAGCCATATTCTGACCTTAAAATTCATCAGGTAAGGGATACAAAACTTGTACGTGGACTTTCTTTCATGACAGATCATCTTTGTCACTACCACAATTTTAAGAAGGACGCAATGGGTTAATATCTCCACTTCCTGTAAAAAAACAGCTCAGGTGCACTATGTCAGTGTTCCCCTGTGCACAGCAGAGAGCAAAGTGCCTGTAAGGCACCTGATGGGCTAAAGGAGACAGAGGAATTCAGAGCCCTGGAGGTAAACTCCAGCCCTCTCAAGCTGCTTGGTAGCCCTGCTAGGAGCCATATGAAAGGCCATGCTCCCCTCACCACTTTATGCCACAGCTGTTGTCCACCAGACCCTTCCATGTGTCGCTTACATTCACTAACACACTGAAAGAATAACTTAGTACAAAACTGGGCCATTTTCTTTCAGTTCACCGGAGGACATAATTGTCCAGTCCAGAAAATAGGTAGAGGAAGATGGAGAAGTGAACATTTTCTCTTTGGCCACTACTTTGACTCAGCTGCTCATGGAACCACAATCTAAAGCTTCTATATTGACAAAATCAATTCATCACATAATCTGTGTTTTTAGGGGAATTATTTTTTGTACATGGATCACATGCCTGTTGAATTTTAGAGCTCACCTCCTAGACAACTGCAGCTCTAACTACACAGAACTAACAGAAACTTCTTATATCTGTTTTCCTCTGAAAGCAATGATTTCTTTGGAATCACAACCACAGACACTGTGTGTGTTCTTAGAACACCAACACACTGTCAATCTCAGCAAAACAAGTGATGTTGTTCCTTGCCTAACAACAGCCTCAAGCCAATGCAAACCTATGCTCTCCTCAGTGTAAATTCAGAGATGGACTGGCTACAATTTGTACTACAGAGCAAAAATACAAGTAGTTCTGGAGAAAATGGTGAAACTTGAAGGAAAGGCTGCCTGCTGTTTGTGATACATGGAAAGTGAGGGGAAGCTCTGGGAATTTTCTCTTTAAAACAGTATGGCAATATTAAGAATACAACTGAAGTTATTTCACCAGTCTTGAGCCTGAAAATCTGTGCCAGGATGTTTTCACAGATATTTTTTGAAATTCCTTTATATTTTAATCTAGGGCAACATTTATACCTCTTTGCACTATCTCTTAAGCAGAGATAGTGAAACACCAGTTAAAAATAGCAAAGCCTCTATTTGAGAGGCAAATATGACAAATAGAAGAGAACTTATCTGAGAAAGCCTGGGAGGGCACACAGCTGGGAAATGAGATTCTCCTTTTTTGATCACTAATGATGACTCCTGCTGCTCACAGAGCTCCCTCACTCCTGCAACCACTGAAACCACATCACAGTTTTGGAAAACCTTCTGAAAACCATTGGAAAATCTTGCAGCAGCAAGCACTCACCGAGTAGTCCATCCATCAAATCCATGCCTATATACTTAAAGGAGGGACTTGTGTTTCTTCCAGTCATACTCTCTATACAGTCAAGAAATGTGTCTTGGTTTAATGCTGTCATGATCAGTAAAACATAGAAAGTCTCTTAAGTTCCAGGCAAACCTGCCCCATCCATAATAGAGACAGGTAAGACACTGTGATCTAACTATCATAAATAAAGTTGTGCATCAGGATAGGAATGATTTCACACCTGCATCTGAGTTATACTGGACCTTCTCGCAACTGGTCATGGGACAGGGTAGGACACAGAGTTCATATGACCCCAGTAAAAAAGAAAGAGATACTTGGATTCGTAGTTTATCCCACCCCGGTAAGAAAAGAGGCAAGACCCTTCAAGGTCTAGGATATTCTGGGTTTTACCTATCCCACCCTTGCTCTTGTTCTCCATTGCAGCAGGCAAAAATGTAACAATCCCAGAGTCTGCCCTTGAACCTTTGACAGTTCAGAGCTCAAGGTGATGCTGTAGTACCCTTAGCTTCTAGTTGACCATGCACTGTTACGGGCTGACAAGTCTTTTTTGCTGTCGTATTGATTGATAGAAATGTCTATAATGAATTTTAATCAGAAGTTCTCTAAATTCCAGCAAGCCCACTACTTACTGTTAAAAAATTCCTCATAGTCAGTTTTCTCCACACAGCATGTGTACATGCGCAAAGCTGCCACCTTAATCTTCTAAAGAGAAAGAAAAAACAATACTTCAAGTATTCATCATGAACACTACTGGGTTTGTTAAATACATAAACTAGCATTTGCTGAAAAGCTTTCTCCTGAGAATCACAGTCACTTGAGGTTTTCAGGAGCACATTAAACTATGGTATCAGCCAGAAATGACACAAACAGAATCAAACTTGCCTTAAAGCAAAACCAAATTCTTGACAGGCTTCTTTAATACCCTTCAAATCTAGTATAATGTAACAGAATCAGCAAATGGTTTGGGTCGGAAAGGACCTTAAGATCATCTAGTTCCAACCCCTTCCATGGGCAGGAACACCTCACACTAGACCATGCCACCCAAGGCTCTGTCCAGCCTGGCCTTGAACACTGCCAGTGATGGAGCACTTAATCACTTCTCTGGGCAGCCTATTCCAGTGCCTCAGCCCCCTCACAGTAAAGAACTTCTTCCTTATAGCTAACCTAAATCTCCCCTGTTTCAGTTTAAACCCATCACCCCTTTGTCCTGTCGCTACAGTCCTTGATGAAGAGTCCCTCTCCAGCATCCTTGTAACCCCCTTTAGATACTAGAAGCTGCTATGAGGTCTCCACGCAGCTTCTCTGTTCCAGGCTGAACAGCCCCAACTTTCTCAGCCTGTCTTCTATCATTACAGAAAAATAAATCCAATGTCTTTCCTTACAGAGACTCCAAATCATAATTCCTGGTTTCCTCCAACAACCTTAACTGACGTATAACACTCAGAGTTTTGTGTAATTTAAGTTTTAAATCTTAAAGAAGTTAACATACCAGACATGTCCTAAAAACATCTTTTTTTTTTCCTATGAAAATGAAAATTGACCAACTAAGCTTCGCAAGTAACCAAGGAATTCCAAGTGATGAACAACATGAGGTATAGCCAGGTGCTCTGGCACTTCTAATTTTGTTCTTGGCCTACCACTGCACCACAAACACTTCCAGAGCATCATCTATAACCAAGATACACATTCTGAAGCTTCAAAGAGCACAATAACTGACAGCAAGGATCTTAATAGCTGTCCCTCATTCCTGGGTTGGTTGTTTTCTTCTCAGGGCATGACGTCCACAAGGGCTCACCTCAGTGCTCACTGTACTACAGGGATGAGCACTCTTGCCTACCAAATGGCAGTTCAAATTACAAAGGTAATTCCTTGTGTCCCCGTCAACCAAAAGAAAAATAAGGAAGTTTCTACTGGTCTCCTGATGTGGCAACAGAGGACTCATTATTTTTCTTATTCAATAATCTCAGGTTTCTGTCACAAATCAAGTCTACATCTAAACTTCTTGCAGTAAAAATAATTCACACTGCTTGCTGGAGTTCTGAAGGATTCCTTTATAAAGGAAATGCTGTCTGGCCTGGGAGTAGAGATCTCCCCAGTGAAAGCCACTGCCCCAGACCAGGCATTACTAGACATTAAAAACATATTGTAAAGAACAGTCCCTGCAATGCAGCCCTTAAGTAAAGGGGGTAATACTGGAGAAACTGGTGAAATTTAATCATGGAAGCTTTAGGGTGTAGAATAGGTGTGGGGGAAGGGAGAAAATGGAAAAAAAAGCAGAGAAATATTAAGAAACTTCCCTAAGATCTTATAGAGAGCACTGGCAGGGCCAAAAATGAACTCACGTCTCTTGGGCCCTAACCACAAAATAACTCCCTCCAAATCCAAGCTCCCCAGCCAAAAGCAGGCAGTAAAGAGTAGCAATTAAGGAGAACTCTGAATCAACACTTCGAGCTAACAAGAAACTTTATTACAACAGTATGTATGCAAGCACACGGGAGAGAAACTGCTCTCTCATGAGGTTTAGCATCACCTGATTAAAAGCAAATCCCTAAACCCCTTAAATGTCAGTTATCTTTATATTTTCTTTGTAAGGAGTGAGATGCAATCAGCATCTCAGCATTTCAGAGGTCCACTCTGTCTTGCAGATACTGAAAGCACCTTACAGGTTTTAATTCCTGCACAGTTAGGGTCAGCCTTTCTTTCAGTCTTCTTCTCTCACTCCTTTATACTGTGCCTTAGTTCAGAGCCAAGAAATAATGAATTTCAACTCCTGTCTTTCCCTTTTGCATAAGGAACTCAAGGTGTCTCTTGCAGAACTCGTAAGTTTAGTCAATGTTAAGAACTGCCTTATGAAAGGACTATTTAAAGACCATGAAAGAGAAGGACCTATGTGTAAATGCCCCAGTCAGCTACTACTGACCAGTGACTCGAACAGCAATGAGAACATAGCTCACTACTGTTTGTCTGGGAGACCCTCCTGTCACAGAAATACGGGTACTGAAAGAGTATCTGAGAAGGGCAACAAAAATCAAAACATGAAAGAGTCTCAGGAACAGAAACAAGTTAGACTAAGTTTCCTTAGTTTAAAGACACTATGGAATATACAAGTCTATAAAATCATCAGTGGAAGGGAAATGTGAACATACACTCCAAGGGAAGAGTAATCACTATGATCTTCAAGTACAAAATTAAAAGGCACCAACTGATAGCTACTGTACCTCTTCCCTTGGTGGGGACTCAAGCTGTGGAACTCCCTAACACTGAATGCTATGGGTGCTATAAACTTACAAGAGTTCGAAGTGCATCTGGACAAGTAGATAGATAGATAGATAGATAGATAGATAGATAGATAGATAGATAGATAGATAGATAGATATTAAAGAAAAATGCCCAGTTTCATGCAGAAAGTCCTGAAAGACAACTGCTGTGGGCTGGAGGAGCACATGAGACAAGTATCGCAATATGCTTTTCCTGAAATTAAATTATTTCTAGGTTAACTCCAGTTGGTCACTATTACAGAGAAGATGATGGCCTCTCTGAGTGTTTAACTTCAACAGCAAGGCTGTCATTGTGTTCTCTGGTACAAAATGAAGTGATAAATATGTGAAGAAATTCAAGAAGGTGTTAGATACTAGAAACCAAATACAATATTCCTACTTAAGTTAATGATGGCAATGCATACATCAAGGCAGGTTCAAGCTATGGATTATTATTCCTCACATCACAAAAAAAGAATTTACACAGGTAACAATTAGAAGAACTGCTCTATTAAGTATTGCTCCTATCATTAAGAAAAAAGTGGGGGCATTTTTGTTTGCTTTTTAGAACTCTGAAAGCATCAAACAACCAAAAGAATTATTAACTGAATACTTTACCCATCTGCTATACTTCAGTGGTCCCGTGAAACCCAATGCTTCTATTATCCTGGTGAAAGTGCCCACTTTCTCTTCAGATGTCTGCACAGAATCTTTTGCAGAAAGATGCTGTAAAAGCAAAATATCACATATTTCAGTCTTAGCAATTAAACCCGAGAAATCAGTTTAGTCAGAAAAGTTACAAGTTTAATAGAGAATTTTAGGGGCTTTGCTTCCTTTCTTTGTTCAACAAAACAAACAGATATTTAGGTCTTCTCTGAAAAATATTACACTGTTTCTCCTATGTGATATTCTTCTGTTTATGAATGCAAACACTGCACAACTCTTTTGACAAAAGCATCCCACTGGAAGCTCAGACTCAAATAATACAGAAACCTGCTTTCCAAAATATGGCTCCCATTCTAGATTCCCTTTTCGAAGAAATGCCATGATTCTTTTTTCATTATTCTGCAAGTCTGACTAGACTCCCTTCATGTCATTCCTGGCTTGTTAGACCTTGTTAGACCACCTTGTCATCCATTACTCTCCCGGATCTGCTCTGCAAATGATGGTTGTGCAGGTACAAGAAGGGGGGCACAAGCAGGCAGGAGTTCTTTCCTTCCATACATCTCCTTGCTTTCCTTCATTTTGTCTATCCATATCAAAATAACTATTTAAAACTATTTCTCAGTATTTACCTCTAACTCTACAACAGCAAAATACCCCATCAGGCACGCAGCATACTGGGAGTGTGATTTCTATGCAAGCTTTACCCATCCATCCCTAACTTTCTTTTTTCCTCCTGTCCTCTCATTTCTCGGCATTCCATTTTGCCATTTCCCTCACACTGAGTTAACAAGAGCAGGATCAGGATATTTACTAGTTGAAAGACACCAACTCCCTTGGATTAAGTACTAAACTGATCTTATGGAGATGATTCATGCTCCAGAAAACTTCTGTTCCAAGACAAAAGACAATAAATGTAAGACACGCAGAGACCACGAATTAACAAAACTGTACATATGAACAGTAAATAAATTATTACATAATAATTAATTAGTAGTAGTAGATCGTATGATGATTTTCAATGTTTAGCAGACAGCAAAACTGTGCATCACACATTATTCCCAAGCAAAAGAAGCAGGAAACATTTTGTCACTTCACGTATGGGGCAGCTTTTGTGTCTCCCTTTTTAAAGAAAGGCACATCTGCCCCCACCTCAATAACTCCTCTCCTTAACTTAGTTTTTTTCTCATTGCAAAGAAGCCCTCAGGCTTCTTTGAATGAATGAAGACTCATTGGAATCTTCACCCCAGATAACCCAACTGTAACTGCATCTCACTGTGCTAGCACTTCATTTTCTGGAGAGGAACAGAAAGCACTTCTCAAATGACTGGATCCATTGCTCACACTACACTAAAACATTTTATATAAAAGTTGAAACATCTCATACATGACTTGAAAAGTGTTTTGTAGCAGTATCTGTGAAACCCCTAGCACAATGACAATAGCACAGACAACAAAAACCTCAAACTCTTCTAACCTTATGTGTACTGGAGAATGATCTGCTTTGCTGTGTAATGGCTCCATTGGCTTGATTCAATCCACCACAGGATTCAGATAGTGGGAACTGGCCAGGCCTGTGTCTCTAGCAAAATGATCAATGAAAACAGAAAAAAAAAAAAACAAAGAAAAAAGAGGAAGAGACCATTGACACAACTTTACACCAATTACCCTCAGTTCCTTTGGTTTGTTTCTAAGGGAATTACAGCTTAGTCTAATCCTGAAAATATTAAAAAAATCCACAAATTTCTTATCATAACTGTTGCAAACAAAATGGTTCTCCATGATTAATGCTCCACAACACACATTTTGTAAGGTTTGTAAATGTACTGATGGAATTGATTGGAGAACACTCCATACTGATGGAATCGACTAGAGAACACCTGTCAGCCCCTTTAAGGCACCCCCTTATTTTCCATGTGCCTTAGCATAGTTTCCAGGAGGAACTGCTCCATGATTTTACCAGGCATTGAGGTAAGACTGGCCGTTCTGTAGTTCCCTTTTAAAAATGGGGGCTATACTTCTCCCTTTCCAGTCAGCATGAACTTCACCAGACTGCCACAACTTCTCAAATATGATGGATAATGGCTTGGCCATTTCATCTGCCAGTTTCCTCAGGACCTGTGGATGCATCCCATCAGGTCCTATGGGCTTGTGCATCTTCTTAGATGGTCTCATACCTGATCTTCATATAATTTGTATCTTAGAGCTACCGCACAAAACTATCAAGTAGGAGTGAATGGGATCTCTAGGTAAGAAGCTGCACACTGAATAGAACACTTATCATAGCCTCCCAGCACAGCCAGATTAACAGCAAAACTTGTTATCAATAAATTCAGACAAAGTAAATATACTGGTTTCATCAGAGCAGTCATCCCAGAAGTCTACTGAATCTACTGGTAGCTCAGAGTGAGGCCAACTTTATCAATGAACTTCACAGCTGCTCATTTCCCTCCCCATTCCCCACACCTTATGCTACTTGATATGGAACTGGTGCTTTAACAGTATGGTGTGTCACAAAATCACAGCCAATTTTCCCAGGATTGGAAGTCTTATCTGAGAAAAGACATCCAAGCCACAAAGCTCACAGGCAAGCTTCTAATTCTGTAAGTCATGGCTCTATGATACAAGTTGTAATACACATGAAGATAAAAAAAGGCTTAATCTCTCATTTCATTGTATGCAAGAAGGAAACACCAACTGTACACCATCATTTGTTCAGAGAGCCTGCATCTACTCCCATTTCCTACACAGTTCTCCCCTCATTATTAACTGCTCTTACAAGATGTTCTAGTTAATTTTATATGGGTAGACACAATCTAACACCATGCATCCTGTTATGCAACTGGAAGCAAAACTGCAAAGCTGTACTTCCCACTGACAGCACTACTTAATGCTGTGCTGTGCCAGGTAAATACACCATCAGCACTAAAAAGTCCAACACTGCTGTATAGTGGAGATGTTCTATTAAATAAAGTGCTGGAAATTACATGCCATCATGACTAGCTTGTAACAGCTGCTTTGGAAAAATGACCTACATTTGGAGTTCCACATTTAATCTACCCACAACAGACCATTTTGATCCATTAAAAGACTGGAATGATGACAACTGTTTATTGAAGAGTGGGAGCTCACACTCTTAGCACCAGAAAGCTTTTAAGTTGCCTTGATACTTTGGCAATACACAGACAGTGAAGACATCACTTTTGGAAGCCTCTTTATTTTAAAAAAAACAACAAACGACAAAATCATGAGGTTTTTTACTGATTTAAACTTATCCCATTTTTTTTACATACTTTAACATACTCTGATATCCTACCTGGAAAGTACTGTAGAGCATCTGTCTACACTGGCCTTGGACTGTGGCTGCCTGCAGTAATCCGCTGCATGCTGCTGTCCATTGAGTTACTCCCGTCTGGCAGCTCTGCAACAGAGATCGGCAATGAAGAAAAGGACCCTAACACCCAGAAAACATTGAACTGTCCTTCTGCTTCCACAACTTTTATTCATTTATACCACAATCCTCAGATGAAACTCCCAACTTGTGCTTGAAAGCAGCATAAATTTTGGTTTTAAAAGAATCTTGCCTGCAGTACAAGCACACAACCCAAGTTTGATGGCAAAGCCAGAGCAGTCAAAAGAAAAGGTGGGCTGTCTACATCATAACACTACACCACAAGTTTTATTATACAGAATAAATTCAAATGCTTAAGTAGAATTCTTCAATTGACTGAGTGGTCTATAAAACCCCCTAATCTAACTCTTAGCTTTTATGCATCTTTGTCTTACTTTTCTCAGGCACAGCTAAGAATTTCAGTATTTCAAAAGCATATATTGTCCCAATAAATGTCAGTGAAGATAATAATTTTCTGCAATGAAAATGTCAGATCATATGGAAAAGAGGCAGGGTTTTCTTTGACTTCACTGTCTTTGCACCTTTCATTTTGTGCAGTATTCAAGTTAGTATGATTTTGCCTCCATCATACATATTCTACATTAACACTGGAAATAATGTATACATTATCAGAATGGATATGCTTCTTTCTACTAAAAACAGCTTCATTTTCAATTTGCCACAAAGATGATTAAAGAGACTGAAGCATCCAACATAAAGCTTAGCTTTGAGAAGACTCCAGTGAAATCTCATTAATTTGTATAAATACTCAAACTCTTCTTACTGGTGCCCAGTGAAAGGATAACTATGAGACTAGCAGATGTGACCAAAGATTAGGAGGAACAGATATAAAGCCAACTTGAGTTCCTGTTTTCTGCTTCCTGTACCTGCAGAGTCACTACTGTCCCTCAGTACTGTCTCCTCAACACCTCGTAGAGGGGCACTTCTAATCCATTCAACAAATTGAATTGGGCTTTTAATAACCGCGAGGGGACAGATGCCCTGCCGTAGCAAATGTGATTAGCTACTACCTTTCCACTTCTACTGTAGCAATACTAAGTTGCTGCTGTTTCTCTCTCCGTAACACTACTACCCAGCAAATGAAATTATGAAAATGATACAATTCATCCAAAAAAGACATTTCAGCTGTGTACCACAAAGTACTTCTTGAGGTAATCCAGGGCTCATATATAACGAGTTTAACAAACACTTAAGTGAGAAAGAAAAGACAGCATTTTTAATAAATAATTGTTACAAGATTCCAAGGCATCTGACAATTTTTTGAAGCTTTTTCTCTGTAATATGAAGGAAAACATGCCTAGGTTGCACTATGTGTTAGAGCTTTAATATGTGGAGTTTATAGCTGTTGAAAAGCACTACTGCAACAAAACTGGACAGAGACATGAAAATATAAAATAAGCATATTCACATTTAAAAGGTGAGGTGTGAGAAACAAGTAATAAAGAAAAGACAACAGCAGAAGGTACTGAGCATAACCTGAACAAGATTACTCAGGAACAGCCCACAGAGTGCAAGCACCTCCTGCAGCCAGCTGCCTTGTCAAGATACAGATGAAACGATATCACTATGGTCGTCTAAATCCTTCTGGCAACCATTAAGAAAGCCCTAGGTTCCAATCAAGCTATTCATCAAGATCTCTTCTTAGGTAAAGAACAGCTTTAATGATAACACTTTAATGATAACGGCAGTAAAAACTAGTAGAGCTGAAATGTTTGGACAATAATCATGACTGTACCATATGCTGCAAGCTCCTGAGGACTTAGTTTGCCAGATGAATGCCAGAAGCAGCTGGAAGAGGAGTTACCCAGGGACAGGTAAGCCTAAGAGGCAAGTCCTTCACCTTCTGCAAGCAGGTTCTCATTGCAAACTGCACGCTGGGGGTACAGCTCTGCAGACAGCTGAACCCACCCGTGCTGCCACAGCTCTACTGCTCCAGCATTTGGAGCATAGTAGACAAGAAAAACGCTGGAGGAGACAATGGTAGACAACAGTGCAAAGACATGAGCGAGAAGAGAGTCAGAACAGAAGAAAGCAGGAAATCCACCTCACTGCATCTGGGTTGCTCTCAGGCAGGTTTGCCCTTAGCTGCCTTCAGGTTGACTGCTCAAAGGACAGGACACAGCATGCCTGTAAAACCCACACCCCCAGACATCAGTTCCAAGACCTTAGTGAATTGATTTCCTAAGTGGGGACTGACTAAACGCCTTTCATCTTCCTGACAGATCTGTACCCACCAAGACAGCCCTGTATTTGTGTCGTGATGGAATATCAGACCCTGGCAGAAACTTCTTTCTAGGCTATATACTTAAAGTGGCACTCAGCTACAAAGACCTGAAAGGCTAACAGAAAGGGCAAAATGCACACAAATGCACTTAGCACAGAAATCATAATCTTTACATTAACCTTGTTACCAAACACCTCTGAAGTCAGAGGGGAATCTCTTAATGGCAATCCACAAGCCACAGGACACACAGGCGACAAGGGAAGTACCAGACTGGAAAAAAAAGCCAAATTCTCAAGCCCCGATGAGGAGTACTAACGCACTTCACGATTCTTATATAAACTCAAACTCTGAAGGACAAGCTGGTCCCCCTATTTCACCACAGAGCTCTGTCGAAGGGCGGGAAGAGCCGCTGGTGCCGTCGCCCCCCCCTCCCCTCCCACTCCCCCCCACACACAGCGGGTGTCCTCACTCCGCCGGACAGCCTCGTCCTTAACGCGCCGGCTGGGTCAGGGCGCGGCGGGACCACGCGGAGCAGCGCCGGGCGCTGCAGGAGCCGTGGCGCTGGGACCTCGCGCAGGGACGCGCCCGCCGCTCATCCTCACGGCGGAAGAGGCGACCCCGGCCGGCGGCACTCACCACGGCCCGCACCAGTGCCGCCATGGAGCCTCCCGCCGCTTCCGCCGGCGCGACCCCTTCCGCCGGCCGGCTGCGCATGCGCGGGGAGGGGCGCGCGGCTGAGGGGAGAGTGGTTGCGCGGAGGGAGGCCGCTCGAGGGAGCTCGGTGTTGGACATGGGTTGGAGCTCGGTTCGGGACCGGGAGCGGTGGCAGAGCCGTGCTGCCCGCCATGGCCAGTCCTCTCCTCAAAGGATAGACCCATGAGAATCTGTGGCGGCAGCAGAGGGCAGCGGTGGTTTACCCTGGCTTTGACCTGGCCATTCTGGTTGCCCCAAGCAGATGGCATCGCTGTGAGCCCGCACGGGTGCCACCGTGCAGATTTCACAGCAGCAGCATAAAGAGAACATGGCAGAGCCCCTCGTGCCGGTGCCCCACAGGCTCTGGAGTCAGCACCCTGCTGCCAGGAGCAACCCCAGCTGCTGCTCTCTATTCCCTGCTCCTTCCTTCTGCTGGCACCTGCTTTCATGAGGCCACAGAATGAACCTGAGCAGCAACGCAGCAGGTTATAAGGAGCTGGCTTGTTTTGCCATGTTGGTCTTAATCTGGATCACATCCATATCACCTCACAAATGTTAGTCCTGGTACGCACAAGGCTGGTGTAGATGTGAGCAAGAGCTGCTGGGGAAGAGAGCAGAACTACTCTGCTGGCTTAAAGGGCTTGGGGAACTATAATATTCTACTTCTCTCTTTCCCAGCATATTTACTGGGATGTCAGCTTCCCAAGAGGGCAGTAGCAGCCACTTTAATGGCCCTGAAACTCCAACAGTAGTCCTTAGAAATCTTTCATGTGTTCTTAAATATCAGGCCTCAGGGGGCCAATGGAATCATCTGCTTGGACTTCTTTTCCACAGGCACCCCTGAACCCTGTGCTTCCAGTCAGCCTTTGCAAGATGTTCTGACTCACCACAGCTATCTGCTGAAATAGGTTTAACTGAAAACCTGATGTGTTTAAGTGAACAAGTTGTTCTGATGTGGGGCTAGATGCCGAGCAACACAGGGAACTGTAGATCTCTGTCAGGGACATGCTACATTTAATTTCGTTCTTGAGCCTGCGGCTGGTTCTAGGGAGGAAAGTTAAAGCTAACTGCTACTTTCTGTTTGGCTAGCTGTCCTCTGTGTATTAGACTCAAAGCAATATTAAATGCCATTGTTAAAAGCAAATCTTTCGTGAGAAGGCGATGGAGAATGATTGCACCTTTCTGGAGCCTTCTCTTTGCCATTAGTGAGTTAAAGTCATTAAAAGTGGTGAAGCTCAAGAACCCTACAGTGTGTATTTGCACAGAGAAAAGACTTCTGTCAGTAGCAGAGGGAGTCTTACGGAGGTGTGCAATAGCCTGTCCACCATAGCGGACACTTTCTAACTCAGAGCTGCATGTATAAGTATGCTGAGTGCCAGTTTCTGACACTCACCTGGGTTTGCGTCACCTAATCCTCCACAGGAGGATTTTGACACCTTTCAGTTGGAGAAAATGACTGTCTTACCTATGACTCCTCCGCCTCCATAGGAGAGGTGTTTCATCCCTCTGATCATGGCCTCCTCTGGCCTCGCTCCAACAGCTCCAGGTCCCTCTTGTGCTGTTGCTCCAGAGCTGGATCAGGGCTGCAGGGGGGTCTCCCCAGAGCACAGCAGAGGGGCAGGATCCCCTCCCTGAGCTGCTGCTCATGCTCTGGGGGTGCAGCCCAGCACACGGGTTCTGGGCTCAAGCACACACTGAAGCTGGGTCATGGGGAGCTTCTTATCAATCAGCACCCAGAAGTCCGTCTTCTCAGGGCTGCTCCATCAAGTCTCTGACCAGCCTGTAGTTGTGCTTGATTGCCCTGTCCCAGGTGCAGGACTTGAACTTCATGAAAGATATGAAGAGAAGCATAGGCCCCTCAATCATAATTGTGATGGCCACCCTCAGTATGAAAAATTCAGATTAAAATCCCTAAATCTTAACCAGGGCAAAACCTGAAGATTGATAGTATTGCACAGAAGTACCCCAGCCTAGGTCACTGGCTGTTCTCCATGGGGAGAGTGGGACAAAGGCTCCGTATTTTGCCCAGCAATTCCATGCTGGTCTCAGAATTGTACCTTTTCAAATCTGTGTATTTATCTACCCTGAAACTTCAGTTTTGAGAAACTGTCATTTTTACATGAAGAAATGGCGTCAAAATGTTCCAGGTGGACTAGGACGCATACATGATTTGCTGTGTTCTAGGCTATGGTAGAGACTGAAACTTGCTTCTGGGTTGTTACATTATTCCTTGATTGGCATAGTTAATTACAGACATCTGCAAATCCTGTAGGTGTGCAGCTAAAAAGATCATCTAGACCATCCTCCACTTCCAGTACTAAACATACTGAGAAACATCTGGTGCATGTTTCCCTGACCTGCACCTAAAAATTTTGGTAAAGGGGGTCCCAGCTTCCATTTGAAGCTTGTTCCAATCTTTCACTGTGAAAGTTTTCTCATTCTTAACATAAAGATGCTAAGTGTGAGTCCCATTCTTCTCCCTTTAATGTCAAGTTCCTAAATGTACTAGAAAGAGCAGAGTATGGCTAATACTTTAAGAAATCAGCCTCAGGCTGTTTGCTGTGAGAAGCATTGTAGAGATGAGGAGAAACTTGGCTGGATGTTCCGGAGATGAGGTTTCCTATCACAGCTCTGCAAGATTTTTCGTATATAACTTTTACCATATTACTTGTTTTTTCACCCGGTTAATGGATATACACATATTTCCTCAGAATAAAAAAGAATTAAACGGTTTTGATTGTTTTGGATTTTTTTAAGTATCCTCTTGTAGTGCCATCAGAAATAAGAAGCACAAATGGGCACATGGAGACTATTTTGTCAAAAATACGAGACACGGTATGGTGAGCCAGCAATCCAGGTCCTGTGTCCCCTCTGCTTATCTCTGCCTTGAGGAATACTTATGTCTTTCAGAGTGAGCAATACAGTACTGAAAAGACAAAGGGCTACACCCAAGAATTTAGCACAGTGAGAACTGCCTGATCTGTCAAACTGGAACCTCCAGGTTAAATCTGTCCTGAATTTTCCACTGTTCAGACTTCAGAGGCAGGCACCTCTATGACCTCCTCTGGTATGTTTTACTTGCCACATTTCCTCCTGATGTTCTGTGCATACCACTCTGCAGTCAGACTTTCTGTGTGTAACTCACCAGGAAACACATTTTCTGTGTATGTTTTTAATCTGTGTATTTTTGACCACTTTCAAAAGACTTCCATTGCACAGAGGTCCTTGGCTGTTGTGCTCCTGAAATTACATATGCATTTAACCTCTCCCAAGCTGGCTCAGTAATCATTACTATACTTCTAGTTCTTTTTTTGACTTAATTAACAAGGAATGGTAGCTACCTTTTAAACAAAGGCATTTACAAGTATTTGATGTTCCTGTCCTTGTAATTTCCTATCTCAATTTTATTTCAGAATTATCACAGAACATGCTTTTCCCATTTTCACACTGAAAAACACACTGATCACTTTTACGCTGGCCTGTGGGTTTATATTTTTAAATGTACCTATGCAGGTTAATCAACCATTTTGAAATACTCTAAATATATAAAACCCCATAACAACTTCTCATATTTTCCTCTTCTCATTCATGAAGAATTAAAATCAACTTGATAAGGCACTTCTTAGCCCAACACCTTCTGGGGAGAGCTCCCTCCTTCTGAGAAACAAACATACTTTAGACTATGGCAAAAGTACAGATCTTTTAACTTCAGTCTTTCCTCTACTCAGTCTAGAATTCCTATCTAAGTGCAGATTGAAAATCATATCAATTTTCCTTCTTAACCACCTGCTCCTGCTTCTGCAAAAGAAAAGTCTAAAGAAATCTCAAAATCGTATGGGGAAACAGGATCTGTCCATGTTACCTGGGACAAGCAGGGCTGGGGCACTCCAGATAACAAGAGGAAAAATAGTCCATATGGGTATTCCAGGACACTCTGGAGATCATGATAAAGAGAAACCCAGTTGAAATGCTCAGCTCAGGTCCAGCAGGTCTTGTTAACTCTGGTTCAGTGCCAATACTACACGACTGCCAGCTGGCTTCTGCAGCTATTTGAGTGTCTTTGCAGCAGACTTTCCTGGTGCTCCAGGTTCTGAAAGGGCCTTGTATGTACCCAGAGAGCCAGTGCAGGTCTCACACTACATCCTGTCTACTGCTCCCTTTTAGGACTTGAAGCATAGATCAGTGATACCAGACCCTTGGAGCCCTGGTACATGTGGATTGTCTTCTTCCAGAAGGATGTCCCTGCACTGCTCTTAACAGAACTCCGAGAACTCCGAGTTCCAGAAATGCAGTGAGGGGCCATCTGACCGCATGGGGAAACTCAAGTTCCGCTGGATTTTTAGCTCTGGCTGGGTGATGAAGGCAAATGGCATTTCTAAGGTTGAACTGGTAGTTTATATATACTTCACTTTCGCAGAATTTTTCTCCTTTGCATACAGAGTGCATTTGGACACTTTGAGATCAAGTCCAGCCTTAGGGTGACGTAACAAGCTGGAAAAGGATTTCTAATGGAGGCTAATTATATTTTTAGCAACCTACAGATGTTTAGTCCTCTCCATAAAACTGAATGCTCAGTTTGAGGTGTCAGTGTGCATACATTTGCTACTGTGGTTCCCCAGGATAAATGCTATTTAAAAATATGAAAATAAGGTAATTTGTCAATACAAGTACAATCTTTACAATGCATGATGGACCTTGACAGATTTGGCAAGTATGGAGATCAATTTCCTGATCTGGAATTCCTTGGCTAGGGGTGAAAAGTGGTCCTTTCTCTAGTCTCCAGGAGGGAGTTATCCCTCTCCTGCACCAGTGCTGCAGGAGTAAAAGCAGACATGAAGCAGAACCAGGCTCCTCAGTGCCACACCTCACTGAGTTTGGTGAAATCTAGCAAGCAAAGCCTGAACTCCGTGACTGAACTGTGCAGGGGAAGCAGAAATAGGACTTGATTACTTTTTCTGAGCTTCTGTATCCTAGTGGCTGCTGCTACTGTTAACTACGATAAACTCCTGTTTGTTCACTTGAGCTTGCCA